CCCGGACCTGAGCTGGAGATGCTGGCCGGGCTACCGACGTCAGACCCCGGGCGCCTCATCACGGACCCGCGCAGTGGCCGCACCTACTTCAAAGGCCGCTTGTTGGGCAAGGTGGGCCGGGGGACGTCCGCGGGGTGGTGATGGTGGAGGTGGGGGTCTCGGCCGGCCTCATTTCTGGCACCAAGCCGGGCGTGGCCACTTGACCCCCAACGCGGGGACGCCCGCGGGCCAGAGTCGGCCCCCCTGGAACACCCAGCCTGACGCCCCCTCTTCACAGGGGGGCTTCGCCCGCTGCTACGAGGCCACTGACACAGAGACTGGCAGCGCCTACGCTGTCAAAGTCATCCCGCAGAGCCGCGTCGCCAAGCCGCATCAGCGCGAGAAGGTAGGTCCAGGCTCAGCGGGCGAGGGGTGGGGTGGGGACGGTGGCATGGGAACCATGGAAGGATGACGACCCTGCGCCCTCATCGCAGATCCTAAATGAGATTGAGCTGCACCGAGACCTGCAGCACCGCCACATCGTGCGTTTTTCGCACCACTTTGAGGACGCTGACAACATCTACATTTTCCTGGAGCTCTGCAGTCGAAAGGTGAAAGATGGTGATACCCGCAGGGATGAGGGTGAGGGAGAGAAGACAGTCTTAAGACCCAAAGCTCGGGCCTTGTTTCTTCCTCTGGGAGCACAGATGGAGGGGAAGGGGGAGGGAGGGCTCACCAGGGGCTGAGGCAGTGGCTCGCTGCAGTCCCTGGCCCACATCTGGAAGGCCCGGCACACCCTGTTGGAGCCAGAAGTGCGCTACTACCTGCGGCAGATCCTTTCCGGCCTCAAGTACTTGCACCAGCGCGGCATCTTGCACCGGGACCTTAAGTTGGGTGAGACTCCTGAGCCTGGAGGATGGGAGGTTGGGGAGGGAGGGAGGAAGGAAGGAAAGAATCTGACACACCTCTCTTTCCCCATCTAGGAAATTTTTTCATCACTGAGAACATGGAACTGAAGGTGGGGGATTTTGGGCTGGCAGCCCGGTTGGAGCCTCCGGAGCAGAGGAAGAAGTGAGTTTTGAAGAAAGGAGCCTGTGTGTGATACAGATGACATGCGTGACAGACAGTGCATATGTATGTGGGAGGCAAGGTGACTGCTTGATGTGTGCATGAGATAAATGGGAAGGGATGAGGGGCTGTTTATGCATGTGTGAAGGTGGAGGTGGCAGCCTGTGTTACCGGGACCAGTGGAGAGGAGTAGAATCCTATAGGTGTGTGACACAGATAGGGTAGGTGACCCTGAGTCCCTGAGACAGATAGGGGTGTACAGCTTCTTGGAGGCATATGACTTACCCTTCGTGTGGATGGGGGAAGGTTACAGGCAGCGTGTGTGTGTGTGTGTGTGAGAGACAGACTGAGAGTGTGGGAATGGTAGGATATGACACTGGGTGTAAGAAGACCCTGCTGTGGCCATCGTACTTTGTGTGTGTGACACAGACAGCATATGTGGCAGATAAGTGTTTATGGGGGTTGTGACAGCTGGTGTTGGTGTGTGTGTGGCACAAACCATGGGAGGTGACAGCCTGATGACTGTGTGAGAGACAGGAGTGCAGGAAGGGGGAAGGGATCAGCTGTGGACTCTCTGTGTTGACCCTGGAGGAGGGGACTGGGCTGGGGGTCAGGCCCTCCCCCTGTCATGAAGAGCAGCTGAGCAGCTGGGCCAGGCGGGTGGGCGGGGACTCAGCTGCCATCCCTGGCATCCATTGTCCCAGGACAAGCAGGAGTTCTCTGGCCTTTGGTGACAGGCAGCTGCTTTGTCTGGACTCACAGTGGGGGAAGGGGTGGGGGGGCTGCTGGGCTGGGTCTCAGCCTTTTCTCCTCCTCCCCACCCTCTTTCAGGACCATCTGTGGCACCCCCAACTATGTGGCTCCAGAAGTGCTACTGAGACAGGGCCATGGGCCCGAGGCGGATGTGTGGTCACTGGGCTGTGTCATGTGAGTCGCAGGGTCCAGGTTCGGCAGCAGACAGGTGGTGGGTGTGTGGGTGGGGTATCCCCTCCACTTTACTCCTGACCCCTTGGCCCTGCCCTATAGGTACACGCTGCTCTGCGGGAGCCCTCCCTTTGAGACAGCTGACCTGAAGGAGACGTACCGCTGCATCAAGCAGGTTCACTACACGCTGCCTGCCAGCCTCTCACTGCCTGCTCGGCAGCTCCTGGCTGCCATCCTTCGGGCCTCACCCCGAGACCGCCCCTCTATTGACCAGATCTTGCGCCATGACTTCTTTACCAAGGTCTGTGGCTCCCCAGACCTCTAAGTCCATCTGCGTATTCCCAGGGATTGAAAGAGTGCAGGTGACAGGGCCCCTGGAGCCCCTCTTCTCTGTTCACACGGCTCCCCTCCCTAGGGCTACACCCCCGATCGACTCCCTATCAGCAGCTGCGTGACAGTCCCAGACCTGACACCCCCCAACCCGGCTAGGAGTCTGTTTGCCAAAGTTACCAAGAGCCTCTTTGGCAGAAAGAAGAACAAGAGTGAGTCTGGGGTGTCAGTGGGTTGAGGGGGCAGAGCAGCAGAGCAGCTTGTCCCATTCGTTTCGGGTGTGTGAGTGTGGGTGCCTGGCAACTCCTGGGGAGAGCATGTGCAGTACAGGCACTTGGGGAGGCCAATCTCTGTGTCATCCCTGTGGCAAGTGGAGGGGCTGGGCAGGATACTGAGGATGGTATCATCCTTCACCCCCAGGTAAGAATCATGCCCAGGAGAGGGACGAGGTCTCCTGTTTGGTAAGCGGCCTCATGCGCACGTCGGTTGGCCATCAGGATGCCAGGCCAGAGGTGAGGCGCTCACGTGGACACTGTTCCCCTGACTCACCCCCACCCTAGCAGCTGAGGGAAGCCCAGGATAAAAGGCTGCTGAAGCATCCAACCTCGTGGTGGCCTAATTGGCTGTGTGTCACCAGCCTGGCGGGGCTGACCTGGGGTGCCCTGGGAGGCAGGGCAGGGCCGGGCCATGGACTCAAGGGTTTGGATTTTGGGGCCTGTCTCACTCCCTTTCCCTGCCCAACCCTCCAGGCTCCAGCAGCTTCTGGCCCAGCCCCTGTCAGCCTGGTAGAGACAGCACCTGAGGACAGCTCACCCCGTGGGACACTGGCAAGCAGTGGAGATGGTGAGGAGCCAGGGAGGATGAGAGGTGTCAGAGGTTGCTGGAGCTGAGATCAGGGACCAGAGGGAAGGAGTGGGCAGAGGGGCCTGGCCTGGGTCCTGGGGTGCTAATTCCTAAATCTCCGTGCCCTGTCTCCTTCAGGATTTGAAGAAGGTCTGACTGTGGCCACAGTAGTGGAGTCAGCCCTCTGTGCGCTGAGAAACTGTGTCGCCTTCATGCCCCCAGGTAAGGCTGGGGTCTGGTACATGCTGCTGTCGTGGGAGTTCTGTGGCTGGGAGTTCTGCTCCTGGCAGCCAGGAGCAGGTCCTGACTCCCTCCTTTCCCATGACAGCGGAACAGAACCCGGCCCCGCTGGCCCAGCCAGAGCCTCTGGTGTGGGTCAGCAAGTGGGTTGACTACTCCAATAAGTTCGGCTTTGGGTATCAACTGTCCAGCCGCCGTGTGGCTGTGCTCTTCAACGATGGCACACATATGGCCCTGTCAGCCAACAGAAAGTAAGTGCTGTTATGGGGTGCCTTGTATTCAGGCCACTAACCCAGCAGGGCTGCACCCTCCTGCGTGCTCCTGGGCTCAGGGGTCTGGGTTTCTCAGGGGAGGGGCATCGGTGTAGGGCTCCCTCTGACCTCTGCCTCCCCATTCTAGGACTGTGCACTACAACCCCACCAGCACAAAGCACTTCTCCTTCTCCGTGGGTGCTGTGCCCCGGGCCCTGCAGCCTCAGCTGAGTATCCTGCGGTACTTCACCTCCTACATGGAGCAGCACCTCATGAAGGTGTGAGGGTTGGGGCTGTGGTACACTGAAAACTAACCTATCCTGAGCTCTCTGATTCCCCCTTGGTGGTGGTGGGGGTGCTCCAAGCTAGAGGATAAGACATACAATAATGGGGAGGGGGCTGTCTCACGCTGGATCAGTGACCTGCTCCGATCCTGCTCCCAGGGTGGAGATCTGCCCAGTGTGGAAGAGGTAGAGGTACCTGCTCCACCCTTGCTGCTGCAGTGGGTCAAGACGGACCAGGCTCTCCTCATGCTGTTTAGTGATGGCACTGTCCAGGTAAGAGCCTATCCAGGAGTTTCGGGGAAGGTCTGGGAGGCCCAGGGTGCTGGGGAGGAAGCTGGGTCCGGAGCCTAGGTCCTGACCACTGTCATGCTCCTGTGTGCAGGTGAACTTCTACGGGGATCACACCAAGCTGATTCTCAGTGGCTGGGAGCCCCTCCTTGTGACTTTTGTAGCCCGAAATCGTAGTGCTTGTACTTACCTCGCTTCCCACCTTCGGCAGCTGGGCTGCTCTCCAGACCTGCGGCAGCGACTCCGCTATGCTCTGCGCCTGCTCCGGGACCGCAGCCCAGCCTAGGACCCAAGCCCTGAGGCCTGAGGCCTGTGCCTGTAAGGCTCTGGCCCTTGCCTTTGTGGCCCTCCCCATTCCTTTGGTGCCTCACTGGGGGCTTTGGGCCGAATCCCCCAGGGAATCAGGGACCAGCTTTACTGGAGTTGGGGGCAGCTTGTCTTTGCTGGCTCCTACCCCCTCTCCAAGATAAGCCTGAGCCTTAGCTCCCAGCTAGGGGGCGTTATTTATGGACCACTTTTATTTATTGTCAGACACTTATTTATTGGGATGTGAGCCCCAGGGGGGCCTCCTCCTAGGATAATAAACAATTTTGCAGAATTGGACTCCCCCTCACTCGCAGTAGAGCCCGTGGACCGTGGCCACCGCGAAGAGCGAGGTGTTGGTATAAGAGACCGAGGCCAGCCCATCGCGCGCCACGTCCCAGAGTGCGCGGCTGACCACGTGAATGCCCTGGCCCGCTCGCGGCCCCAGCACCACGCTGCACACCAGCTTGTACCGCGGCGGGCTAAGCTCGCGCAGGCGAACGTGCACCTGCTCGCAGAGCTCCTGCACCAGCCGCGCGGCCTCGGCGCTGGAGTAGCACGCGTCGCGCAGCCCTGCGGACAGTGCCGCCTCCAGGGCACGCTGTGCGCGCGCAGCCTCCCAGCGCTCCCCGGGCACCGGCTCCGTGCGGTAGGAGGGCGCCACCTGACGGGCGGGCGCCAGAGGCAACCCTGAGAAGCTGACCCGTGAGCCCAGAGGGGGCACCGGGCCCAGGGATGGCCGCCGACCCCCAGGACCCGCGCCTGGCCCGGCCAGCGAGTTGCGACGGGAGAAGGACGTGGCCAGGCCCAGCATGGAGCCCCGGCGAGAGGCCGGGCCAGGACCTGGACCTGCGGGTCGCGCCTCATCAATGCTGGGCAGGCGGCCTCGGGGCCGCACTGGTGAGGGTTTCGGCCCGTAGTCTTTGGCATTCTCCTCTTCCTGGCGTCCCCGGGGCAGAGGCCTGCTGGCCATGGACCTGCTGGCTAGAGGACCCACACTCAGGGTGGCCTTCCCTGGGCATCTGTCTGCCCACCCCAGCCTCCTGCTCAGTGATGTCAAGGGTTTTTACCTTCTACTCCCTTCTTACCTGTGTTTTAGAACAAGTGGATCAGATAGTCCCAGGCTGCCTGGGTTCCTAGGTGCTGAGAAGGTTAAAGGTTGTTAGACACATGAGCAAGGGACAGGAGGCTGCTGGGACTGGGATCCTGAGCTAGTCCCTGCCTGCTGAGCTCCTTCTCTGGGCACTATGGAGGTTAGCCAGGTACGCGCGAAGTCTTAGAGACTGCCAGTTCTCCCTTCCACCCTACTTCTCTGGAAGGAGAAGCAGGCCTCTGCCTCAGCCTGGACCATGGAGGCAGTGCCTCCAACCCCTAACCAGGAAAGACTGACAGATCACCTCTTTCAACCCCACAGATCCTTCCAGCCCTGGGGGTGTTGAATCTAGTCATCTTCCACCCAAATCTACTCTAGGGTGGCTGGCACAAAGGTCTCCCCTACACGTGGCCCAGGCTGAGGGCAGACGACTTGTGAAGCCCCTTCCACCTTCTGCCTTTGGCCTCTGATCCCACTTCCTCCAGAATCAGTTCTGGGATGGCTGCCCTCTGCTCCCGAAACTCCCTCAGGCACCTGAGTCACCTGCAGGCTTTGGCTTCTGAGTTCTGTCAGGCTCCACAGCCCTGGCCCCACTGGCCTGAAGGGCAAGTGGGAGGGGAAGGACCTGTGTTGTGGAGTTGCCATGGGTTGCTGGAGCAAACACTCCTCCCTCCAAGGATCCCTCCCTCCAGTCCGGCTCTGGCTTAACCTGAGAGCCCTGTTAACTGTGGGCATGTGCTGCGCGTGGGGTCATCAGGCAGAGCGGCCGACAGGGTCTTGCAGCTCAGTGGCAAACTTCCTAAGCGCAGGCGACAGAGGGGCAGATGTAGAGGGAGGCTGTGGTCAGAAAGGTTTTGTCCTACCCCAGGGCGCTTGAGCCAGGGCCCGTTTTCTCCCCTTGTGGAGACTGGCCATTATGAACAAGTCACAGAGGCCTAAGATAGGGGGAGATCTTGAGGCTGCGGGGGCGGTGGCTCAGGAATCCAGGGTCTGGGCCCACAGGAAGGAACACGTCATGGCTCTGTTGTCTCTCCGTCAGTCAGCCTCGACAAGGACAAACATTTCCGCTCCCGGCGCACAGTTAGGGTGGGGCTTGGATGACTTCCTCAGTTCAGGGCTATGTGTGGGGGAGGGGAGGTCCATTGGCTCAGCTGGTAAGAACCAGACCTTACAAAGTGGCAGTGACTCGGCGGTGAACACCGAGTCCAGCCTCGTGACCCTTGCTAACCCAAGTGTCCTGGGGCTTGTCCCTAGCTGGCTATACCTCTTGTGTGCCCTACTACCTAGATTTCCCCAGAGGCTGTGACACCTCTGCCAGAGCTGACAACTCATGTGACTCCCCCTCTGGCGGGGACGGGACTATCCCCTCCCAAACAAGCCAGGTCTGGGCCCTGACCCATCTATGGGGGCGAGGATTTTCCCTGTTGAGTGGGGGATTCCCAGGCCTGGCTAAGCAGATCCTGACCCTGTGTGCCTGTGGAGGAGGGAAGGGTTATGAGGGTAAGGAGTTTGAACTCTGAACCTAGGGCAGGCTCGGCTTCGGGGGTTAAGACTCTCATACGGCGCTTAGTGCCCCTCTAAGGGCTGAAGTTTTCCCTGGGCCTGCCTGGGAGATGGGTGGAGTCTCTTCTCAGGCCTGCTCCAGTTTCCATGGAAACCCACAGGCTTCCCACCCGGCGGCTGCCTGGGCAGACTCCCAGCCAGGGCCTCTTTCGCCGCCGCCAGCCAGCCAGCCTCTTCCCAGGACCATAGGCCACTCCAGCCTCAGCTTCTCCCGGTCCCCTCCCTGTGTCTGTTCCTGTCCCTGAGCCTCTGGCCCCTGATGCCTTCAGTAGTTTGGGCCCCTCCTGCTCCACTCCTAAACTTCAGCTTCTCAGCAAACAGGCCTCCCAAGTCCCTGCTTCTCCCTCTCGGGCCTTGCTAGCCTCACCAGCTCTAGGACCTGGCCAGGCCTCCTAGGCTCCCTCCTCCACCCCCACCCCTTCTCACCCATGGAGCCCCTGGGACTGGTCGTGCATGGGAAAGCTGAACCTTTTTCCGCAGCACTCCGAAGCCTCGTCAACAACCCACGATACAGGTGAGGGGTGGGCCCTGCCTGCGGGTTTTCCTTAGCTGGCTCTGAGGGCCCCAGGACTCTAAGGAGGCCCTGGTGAGAAGAGGCTGGGAATTAGAACTTGGCCGTCCTCCCTGGTGAACTCACGCTCTGGGGAGGTCAAATGTGGAACATGGCTGCTGGTCACTCAGTGTCTGTGAGACCCTGAGGGCCAGAGGCAAGGCTGGCAGGGTCCTGGGGGCTAGAGCCTGGAGCTGCTGTGTGAGCTCAGGCAAAGCCCTTCCTTCTTTGGACTTTGAGCTCCTGGCAGAAGAGAATGATTCTCAGCCCCTGGGATCCTGAGAGATGGTGGGTCATGATTCCCCTCCTCCCTCCAGTCACTCAGCTTGGTGTTGAGGCCTCCCTGCTTGAAGAAAAGGAACAGATGACCTGTTCTGGGAACTGAGGCTTCACAGGAAGAACAGAGCTCGAGGAATTGAGCCATAGTCCCTGACAGGAAGCCTCGGGAGTGCTGGCTGCTCCCTGCTGGCCAGGATGCCAGTGGTGTCTGAAACCAGGGGTAGAGTTTACAGGAGGCCGGGCTGCTCAGGAGAGCTAGAATGAAGCTCTCTGTCCTCATGGTCTCAGATCTGAGCTCTTCCCCAAAGGGTGGTGACTTCCATCACCCTGCTTCTTTGGGGTCACAGTCTGGTCTGGGTAATGTGAACGCCCCAGGCTTTGGACCTGGGAGTAAGAGGCTCTAGGAGGCTCCAGCCTCATCTGCCTCCTATCCCCTGCCTTGTTTAGAGGCCCAGAGCTGGGGCCGGAAGTGATCATGAAGATGGAAACTGTGGTCTGGCTCATGATGGTGCATCACTGCTGTGTCTGTTTGCAGTCAGTGCGCACTCTGTGCCCCACACCCCCACACCCGCCTGTCTGGAGGAGGGCTGAAAAAAGCTGAGTTTGCAGCTGGTGGAGGAGGAGCCAAAAGAAGCTTCCCTTCCCCCAAGACTCAGGCTGGGGAGGAGAGGGAAAGGTGGGATCAACCGTGCTTCTGTTCGTCCAGATGCCCCTCAGTAATCAAGCATAGTCACCTCCTCTGCGACCTGAGGTTTAGGATTATTGTCCCATTTCATGGGTGAGAAACCTGAGATTCAAAGATAGGAAGTCACCAGGTGGAGCTGGGACTAGAACTCAGGGCTTTGGGTCCCAGACCTTCTGCTGGAGGGACCAAGCCCTGTCTCTTACATTCTGGATAGGAAACTAAGACCCAGAGTGGGCAAAGGCACAGCCCAAGTTGCACTCCAGGTGCTGGCCTCCTCTCCGCTGGCTCTCTGCCTCTCTCCCACAGTGATGTTTGCTTCGTGGTCGGTCAAGAACGGCAGGAGGTATTTGCCCATCGGTGCTTGTTGGCCTGTAGATGCAACTTCTTCCAGCGACTTCTGGGCACAGAGCCAGGCCCCGGGGTGCCTAGTCCTGTGGTGCTAAGCACTGTGCCAACTGAGGCCTTCCTGGCAGTGCTGGAGTTCCTATATACCAACAGTGTCAAGCTTCACCGTCACTCTGTGAGCCCGCTGACCAGGGTCCTGGGTGGGAGAGGCGGGGGGTGCCAGAGGCAAGAGTTTGCCCATTACACTGTGGGCATAGGGCAGGGGAAACTCCCTTCCACTCCCCCCACCACCCACTCTACAGGTGCTAGAAGTGCTGACAGCGGCTGTGGAATATGGGCTGGAGGAACTGAGAGAGGTGGGTTTGTGTGCCAGGTCCATGTCTCATTTCCCTTGCTTCTCACCGGCTCACTTCCCGCCCTGCCTCACACACACTCTGGCCTAGAGAGGAACGTGTGCCCACACAGAGAGAAGTATGTATGTCTCTCCCGTGTAAGTAGGGCATGTATGTGTGCCTGTGTGCAAAAGGATCCATGCATGCCTGCCCTGTGTGTGCTGTGGCTAAGAGGGGGTGATTATGGCTAGTGCTGTAGATACAAAGATGTCAGCCTTGATCCCTGTTCTCCAGAGAGGGAGAGGAGACAGACACATGAAAACTCTTATCTGGGTGGCATAAGAAGTGTGATAGAGGCCGGGTGCGGTGGCTCATGCCTGTAATCACAGCACTTTGGGAGGCTGAAGCGGGTGGATCACTTGAGCCCAGAAGCTCCAGACCAGCCTGGGCAACATGGTGACACTCCGTCTCTACTAAAGGCACAAAAATTAGCCAGGTGTGGTGGCATACACCTGTAATTCCAGCTACTTGGGAGGCTGAGGCACAAGAATCGCTTGAACCTGGGAGGCAGAGGTTGCAGTAAGCTGAGATCGCACCACTGCATTCCAGCCTGGGTGACAGATCGAGAGTTGCTCTCAAAAAAAAAAAAAAAAAAAGTGACAGAGAAGGGTGAATGGTGCCAAGACTGTATGGGGGACCTCTCCAGTCCCACCACTAGGGAGAGGAGAAGACTTCCTGGAGGAGGAAACATATGTGTTGGATCTGGTAGAACAAATAGGATTTTGTTCCTAGGGGAAGTGGGAAGATGGCATTCTAGTCACAGAGGCACCAAAGGAGCCAGTGAGACATTTGGTGTGTCTGTGTCTGGACTGTGAGGAGAGGGCAAGATGAGACTGCAGAGGATGCCAGGGCCTGATTCATGTAGGGCCCTCAAGCTTTTGGACTTCTTTTAAGCAGAGGGCAGTGGAGATTCACTGAAGGTTTCCGATAAGGGAGTGAAGAACTGGAAGCTCAGGGAAGAAGGGATTGGAAGAGGTGGAGAGGACTTGCTAGTCCATTCAGGAGGCGAGTGTAGCAGTCAAGAGATGAGAGATGTCACGGATGAAATTCAAGTTTCTGCTAAAAATAGAAGTATCCTTGAGTCGGGAAGGGAACAAGTGGAGGAAGATAAGCATCCTGAAAGAAGGAGAGAATTTTGCATGGCTTTTATCTGGTCTTGCTTAGTGGCAAAGGTGCTAGAAGGTGGGTGGCTGGGCTTGGTTTTGCTAGTCTCCAGTTCCTGTGAGCCTGCTCTCTCAGGCTCTAGCAATTCCCTGCCTCCCTTGGCCTGGGAGGTCAGGATGGGGTCTGGGGCTGCTGGGTGACTCACCAATCCAAGCCTGCTCACTGCTTCTGGGGTGGAACTAGTGTCTTGGAGCAGGGACACCGCCACACAACCCACATTCATTTCTGTTCCCAGCTGTGCCTGCAGTTTGTGGTGAAGGTGCTGGATGTGGAGTTGGTTTGTGAGGCCCTGCAGGTGGGTGCTGCTGGACAGGCATGGGAGGAGTCTGGCTGTGTGTGTGGAAATGGGCTCCCAGGTGCTGGGAGCCTGGGCCTGCTGTGTCTGGCCTTGAAATAACTTGGGTACATGGTGGTGGTGGCGGTGCTCCAAGGAGGTTTACAGGATGAATTCTGTGCCTAGATATGTGGGATCCTGGGTATATCAGCAGGGTCAGGTGCAGGAGCAGGTGTTGAAGGGACTGGATGTAATTGCTGGTCTTCTCTCTATCAGCGCTGGGGAATGGTTCTCAGCTGGACTTGAGGTAGGGGGAAGGGTGGCTGTAAGACTTTAGAAGCCAAGTTGGGTCAGGCACGATGGCTCACACCTGTAATCCCAGCACTTTGGGAGGCCGAGGCGGGCGAATCAAGAGGTCAGAAGATTGAGACCATCCTGGCTAAAACGGTGAAACTCCCATCTCTATTAAATATACAAAAAATTAGCTGGATGTGGTGGCATGCTCCCAGCTACTCTGGAGCCTGAGGCAGGAGAATTGCTTGAACCCGGGAGGCAGAGGTTGCAGTGAGCCGAGATCGCACCCACACTCCAGCCTGGGCGACAGAGGGAGAC